TGGGAGTACGACCATCTTAAAGGAGTACCTGGATCTGAGCTCACTGTTTCTGGTACTGGATTCCAGACAGACTTCAGAGTGCACCTGCAGCTGAGGCAAACATGGTTAGCATTTAGTAAGTGCCCTTTAAACTTGGTATCTGTTAAGGGATGTTCAGAAGATTCAGTTGCTGTCTTGCTACAGTTTCTGCCTTGTTAAATCTCCTCCTCTACATATGTTGCTCATAGAAGTAATCAGAATTCACTTTCTTTGTATAGTACAAAAATCTACCTTTTCTGCAAAGCGACTAGCGTATGTGTAAGGGGCCAGAATGCAGTCGCACTTGTGATGTGAGTGAAAAAGGCTTGTGTTCCTAGCATTCTACTTCCCGTGTGTTCAGTCTTCACAATGGGGAAGCAGAAGGCAAGAACTAAGTCCCGATGAAGATAAGGAGGGGCATTTTTGTTTCTCAGTCTGTTTACATTCAGGTCACTGCATTTTCTTGGAGGCTGTCCTGAGGCTGTGTAATGAACCATCACAAATGTCATCACTTCTGGTTTTCAGAAGTGCTTCACTGCTTTCTCTTACAAGGGCAGTGTATTTAAAACAATCCTACTGGAACAAGTACAAGGAGGGGCAGCAAATACTGTCAAATACTCTTTGTGCTGCTGTTACTACTCTATTAGCAGGCCCGAAAATAACTGATGATGAATGGCAATAGCCTAAAGCACTGCTTCTCCCTATTGGTAGCTAAATGAATAGAGCAGTAGTTTACTCCTTTGTCTCTTTCATCCTCAGCATGTCAGGGAAGCAAAACTAAACACGCGTTACTGCGAGACTAGCCAGCTATAACATCACATCTACAGATAAGAAAGATCAGTACAAGTGAAAGCGGACTAAGTACACTGGGGGTAAATAGTTCGGGTTACTACATCTGGGGCTAAGTATCAGCACAGCTGGATTCTTACTAAATTTTGCTGCCATTTAGGCCCTTCTCATTTAATGGAGTCTAAACCTAGGCACTAGTTCTCCCAACTACAGCATTTAACTGATGTAATCACTTACTTTCCTTGCCCAAAATCAAGCAATAAGGAAAAACAGCCTCAGAGCCTGGAGGATTACACCTACCATAACCTATAATTCCAGTCACGCCAAAGATGAAAATCCAGAAGAGAATCCCAGCTGTGAACCTCAATAACACAAGGAAGAGCAGACTCACAATCATTGCAACGAACAGCCCACTAGAAAGACAAGAAACAGAAACCCAGGCAGAACAAGTGCGAGCATCTTCCTTGCACGCCTCTTACTCCAAATGAGGGTCCCTTCATCTCGTGTAGGAGAACGGTTGGCAAAAATGTATTTCAAAATCTTCCTTATGAAATATTTCCTCATGGCTCTCTGCTGTTAGAAACAGACAGATTATATATGATGATCTGGACACAGCCAGAATTGTCTGCGTACACCGAGTTCTCAGGGCGTCTGAATGGGACCAGCACACGTCTGGTTTGGTCATTTACACTGGCTGACCAACTCACTGCCTTTTCCAGGCCATGGCCTACTCTACAGCACACAAACTTAAATGGGAGACATACCTGTGTGTGGGGAGGTTACTAGTTTATGTCCTCCATTTAAAATCCCTGCTTGCACAGAAACAGTATTACGAAAGTAACATTTGAGGAGCTTTCCTAGAAAAAAAAGAATTCATTTTAGGAGGAAAACCAGTGATCCTTTCTACCCATCGGAGAAGAAAATGATCAGGGCATAGTGATGCATAAAAAGAACCTGTTCAGAGCCATCAGTGGGACCCCTAGGATGGACATCTCCAGTGTCTTTATCAAGTCTGTGCTAAGGAAACATTTGCTTTCATTTCACTCCCAGAAAGCAAGTCAGAAAGGAAAGAATGACTGCAAAAGGCCTTTACTCAGCGGGTTTCTTCTAAAGCAATGCAAATAAAGCAGTGGGAACAATGGTTCCATCCAACAAAGATCCAGCTCAGACGCTTCACAGAACATTTCATTTCTCTACAACTCTGAGGTGTTACATCAGAATTTTGTGTTAGAACAAAAAGAAATGAAACCCTTTTCTTCCCTGTGGTCAGGAACTTCTCTTCTGAACGTTCCCAGTTTATTTAGCCAGTGACTAAAGATAACAAACGGGTCAGCCTGACCACAAACAATCAAAACCGGATGTCTTGGGCAAACTAAGCCAGACGGGCAGAGGGACAAGAAAAAGAACATCAGTTTATTTAGTTAAGCCTTTGCAAACTGGTCTTAAGTCCTAGCCCCTTAGAGGCTTCCCAGCATGATGCGTGTTCCCTTTCTGAATGGCTTGTTTGAAATTCAGAATGTATTCCTCAAAAAAAGCACTGTCATTTTGGAGTTCCTGACTCTCTTCTTCAAGGCAGTAAGATACCTTTATCTACGGTTAGCTTCAGATTTGCTCTAGTAACACCAAAACTGAATGAATACATGGTAACAACTGTCATTAATAGAGTGCTTCCCTTAAACTGAGCCTTGAAAGCAGCAGTTCTTTGGGAGTAGGATAAAAAGAAGAGAGCAATTCCATATTAGATTTTTAATCCCACCTCCTTTCACCATCAGGCCTTCACTCTCATCACCCAAACTCTGGCACTTTCATATGTTTGCCCAGAAATCACTGGATGCATGCTGTCATTTGGTGAAAAGTGTGAGGAAAATTCTACCCAACTACTTTAAAAGTAACAACAATCCCTTATAAAAGTATCCTATTTGAAATGGGGAAACTGGCTTCAGTATGGAGAAAGTCTGTTCAGAATATGGTCAATTCTCTCACCAGCCCATCTCTTGAGCAGCATCTCCTTTGAGAGAATCTTCACCATAAGTCTGATTTCAATAACAGATCGAGAGAGAACGCCCATTTAGGCATATATACTCACAGATCTGCTTCAGCAAAATAGCTACTTCTTTTGTTTTGGTGCTGCATTTTTACTAATTGCTCGTTATTGAGTAAGAATTGCAAGATAAAGCTAACTCTGTTCAGTAGTTTTTGTTCTTTAAGTTGCTTTGCCTGCTGCACTGGATTTGTGTATTACAATGAATTTAACTACATATTGCTAGTATCAGTTTGGAAATTGGGATGTGTTTTATATAGATACTCACGACATTTAGCAACTGCAATTGGTTTGAAAGTCTCGTAATCAAGAATTTTTAGGTTTGGAATTACCATGCAGATGGGTCCTGCAACAGAAGACAGCAGCACCTCTTGGCTTTCTGCCTGGTAGGATATTCAAAAGCTACTCCAGACCATACTGTATGCATGTATGCTGTGCTATCCTTACCTCACATACAGAACCATAACAACATTACGGCAAAGCTTAAAAGTAGGTTTGATAACAAACACGTACGTGGTCAATTCTTCAATTCCCTACACATTCCATAGTGAGTTTGGAAAAAACATAAAATTACCCATTAGAATCTTACATTAAAATCCAGTACCAAGAAATAGCATAGTCTTCAAAACTTTTTACTCCAATTGATCTTGCATCCAGGATATTACTGATGCTGCTGAGAAAAGACAAGACTGCTAATAGCAGAGAAGCAGAAAACAGCTCAGTCAAGCAAAAGGAGGACTTCTTGGAGTTGTTTTCCTATCCTGCAAAGTGCTTGCCCATATTAACGTTTCCTAAGAAGAAATGAAGAATCATCTTGTCAAAGAACAAACAATGTAGTTGTAGATGCCAGAAGAAGGAAACTTCCTAAGGTGCGGGTGCTAGCACTGCTGGGAAGGTGCTAGAATGCGGCAGCCTCAGATCCAGAGGTAAGAAAAGGTACCCCTGTGCTCCAGACAGGCTGAGGAGGATGGAGAGTAGCTGGTTGCTACCCAGCATTGGAGATGCTTGCTGTCCATCTGCAAGGGAGGTGCTGTCTGGCATCAGAGCCCAGGACGTTGCCTTTTGAACTTCAGACGTGTGCTAAAACAGGAGCATGCTGATGAGGTGAGATGCAAAAGTACTAGGACAATCCACAGTACTAGGAAGGCTGCTGTAGGAAGGAAGAGCTGAGGCCATCACTGGCTGGCCCGAGTCCTGCTGCATGAAGACTTCAATTTGAACCTCCTTTAACTTCCCTTGCTATTAATTTTGGCTAGGAAAACCAAGTGGAATGTTTTCAAAACTGACAGTCATTCTGAGGAACACTAAAGCTTTTGGCTCCTTGCTCATTTCTGCATAACACAGTGCTGGTTTTCCCTACTGGAACTTTGCAAGTGCTCAGGCACAGAAACCATCGACCAGGAAGTCTCGTCCGCTCAACAGGCATCAGAAACCATCGACCAGGAAGTTTGTCCGGGTACCCTCAATACAACAGAGCATGAAGCCATCAACAGATTCTGATCTTTGTTTTTCAATTCCTAAATTATTTCACAGTCTCAGAATCCAACACACAAGCACTTAAGAAGGGTAAAACCTACTTTGCAGCTCCCCTGAGGTCGGTTACGTTTCTTGTTTTCCCTCTTCCATCTTTGAAGGTAGTCTGATTTGCCACAGCTAGCACACCACTCTTCATGGAGAAGTCCAGGAAGCATCTCTTAAGAACTATTCAAAATACCAAAAGAAAGCAGAAATGGAAAGCAATGGAAAAAGGAAGCAATGGAAAAAAAGACAGAAACTATGGGTAAGACAGAGAGAGGAGGAGTTTATAAAAGAGAGAGACAAGGACAGACGTTCACATACTCATTTATGTTGCCCTGCTCTTTGCTGCACCAAATCCTTGGTTTCATTCCAAAGGGAAGAGTAGGTCAGTCCTCCTACAAGCTGTACGTCACCTTTATCTACTGGTTCTGCACTTTCCTTATCAGGATCCAATAAGCACTGATGCCTGGGCTCAATATTCAGTCTGCAATATCTACTCCCCCACTTATTCTCAGGAAACACTTAACTAACATGTCTCTTTTCTTCCCTCTGTGATCTTCACCTCTGGCTGTAGGCAAAAAGAAGGTAAGAACTTCTTTGCAAATGATTTTCTGTCTTTTGGGTCAGTACATCATTTTTCATACAGATTTTTAATTCTTTATCGCTTCATCCATTATTTTCTCTTTTTGACAGCCTGTGCCTGCTTTACACAATCTCTATTTTAAAGCATGGAAAAAAATAACAGCAGTTCCTTATTTGCATGAGCTTCTAGGTCAGTGACAGACACTCTTGAGCTCTGAGACCTCTGCCTGTCTACTCAAAAGCACCTGCTGACCACAGTGACAAAACCAGCTTTTTGTCCCCTTAATTCCTCTGCCGCCCTCCATAGGCAGCACTATGTGCAGCACTGAAAAGCAAGCTGCCCGGTTAACTGGGCTCAAGCACCACCTGAACTTCAACAGCTGCCCAGAGGAGCTTTCCTACAGTCGTGGCATTTCCTTCCTGCCAACAGGTTGGCTTGGGTTCGGTTGGGTGCTCACATGTTTTGGAAGGAAGAGTTTGCACCGTAAACCACTTCTTATCAGTAATGATTCAAGAGCAAGAAAGAGCTCAGCTTGACCCAATCACACTCCAAGTGTCCATGGATGGCTCTCTAGAAAAAATGATGATAAAGCTTCATACTTTCAAACTGTTTAAAACTGAATGGAGGCCGCTGCCGGGTAAGAGCCAGCTCCTCGTGGTCTTGCCACAGAACACTTTTCAGACTGGAGCTGTGATTTCATGTGAACGCTTACAGTCTGCTAAGATGTGTGTAAGAAATAGAACCACTCACAAGGCCTGCTTGGAATGATCATCAAAGGACAATCTTCATCACGTAGAGCTTGAGCAACAGACTGAAACGGGGAAAACTGGGAATGCTCAATACATAGCAGAATTAACTACGTGCGTTTTGTTTCCCACCCACTCTGAGGAAATGCCCCAAACTGGACTCTGTAGCCTCCTCCCCAAATTTGATTGCTGAAGCTGCAAGACACATTCATGATGTGAGAATCCAGCCTCTCAATGGGATTTGGGAAAAGACTATTCTTTACTTTTCTAGTGACAAAAAAGAAAAGACCTCTTCACTTTGGATCGGCAGGTAAAGCAGCAATGACTGGGCAATCGCTCCTTGCCTCCCCCTTACTTTTCTCTTAAAGAAGAGTAAGAATTTAACACAACTAACACAGCTTTAGTGCAGGGCGGTTTAGAGATGGGAGAAATCACACAGTACATTTGAGTCCAAAATCAGTTCCATGAAAGACAGACTTCTTTGCCTAGCTAAATTACTGAGGAGCTCTACATAACAGGAGCCTTAAGAACTGGTTTGAGACACTCTGCTCGACTGCTGTGGGGTACTTAAGTACTAAAGGATACTTCTCACAGTACTGCAACCACATGGGTAGCTGCAGATACTCTTTAAGGAAACAGTAATCACTTAAAGAGTTAGGGAGGTGATGTGCATACAAGACCTTCATCCCCGACCAAATCACTGTCAAAGCGTATGTATGGGACAACTCCTTCTACGGTGAAATCAGAAGAATTCAAAGCTTTGCTGTAGCTCAGTAAAATCATGCTTATTACACATTGCTTGAAGAAACAAAATGGATTCCATCTCCTCCTGATACACACAGACCTTGTGAGGACTCTTAAAAGCAGGTCTGCAGAACTGCTTCAAGTAATTCCACTGATCGGGTTTGTATCTGTAGGAAGCCTGAATATCAAGGTAGGTCACAAACCTGCCTGGGCACTGTGAGACCCAAGCTGTAAGAAAAGAAGACACACTGGGGGTAGAGAAGGGTAAGGAAAGTCAGTGCAATCAGAAAGCAAGAAAAAAGGCCACCTGCCAAACCGCCCTGTTCTATGGAATTGCCTTCAGTAATGCTTACTGCAGCATTTGGAAAGGGACACAATGCATTTGCCAGTGCATTTTGAAGGGTATGAATTTTAAAATCAAACAAATGTACGTCTAGTTCTTAAGCACCATGACTAAGAGGCATCTTTCCCTCCTGAGCAGCTATTTCCATGCAGAAGTGCTCTGTTGAGATCAACGGATTGTCTCACAGTGCCCAGGCAGGTTTGTGACCTACATTGATATTCAGGCTTCCTACAGATACAAACCCGATCAGTGGAATTACTTGAAGCAGTTCTGCAGACCTGGTTTTAAGAGTCCTCACAAGGTCTGTGTGTATCAGGAGGAGATGGAATCCATTTTGTTTCTTCAAGCAATGTGTAATAAGCATGATTTTACTGAGCTACAGCAAAGCTTTGAATTCTTCTGATTTCACCGTATAAGGAGTTGTCCCATACATACGCTTTGACAGTGATTTGGTCAGGGATGAAGGTCTTGTATGCACATCACATCCCTAACTCTTTAAGTGATTACTGTTTCCTTAAAGAGTATCTGCAGCTACCCATGTGGTTGCAGTACTGTGAGAAGTATCCTTTAGTACTTAAGTACCCCGCAGCAGTCGAGCAGAGTGTCTCAAACCAGTTCTTAAGGCTCCTGTTATGTAGAGCTCCTCAGTAATTTAGCTAGGCAAAGAAGTCTGTCTTTCATGGAACTGATTTTGGACTCAAATGTACTGTGTGATTTCTCCCATCTCTAAACCGCCTTGCACTAAAGCTGTGTTAGTTGTGTTAAATTCTTACTCTTCTTTAAGAGAAAAGTAAGGGGGAGGCAAGGAGCGATTGCCCAGTCATTGCTGCTTTACCTGCCGATCCAAAGTGAAGAGGTCTTTTCTTTTTTGTCACTAGAAAAGTAAAGAATAGTCTTTTCCCAAATCCCATTGAGAGGCTGGATTCTCACATCATGAATGTGTCTTGCAGCTTCAGCAATCAAATTTGGGGAGGAGGCTACAGAGTCCAGTTTGGGGCATTTCCTCAGAGTGGGTGGGAAACAAAACGCACGTAGTTAATTCTGCTATGTATTCAGCATTCCCAGTTTTCCCCTTTTCAGTCTGTTGCTCAAGCTCTACGTGATGAAGATTGTCCTTTGATGATCATTCCAAGCAGGCCTTGTGAGTGGTTCTATTTCTTACACACATCTTAGCAGACTGTAAGCGTTCACATGAAATCACAGCTCCAGTCTGAAAAGTGTTCTGTGGCAAGACCACGAGGAGCTGGCTCTTACCTGGCAGTGGCCTCCATTCAGTTTTAAACAGTTTGAAAGTATGAAGCTTTATCATCATTTTTTCTAGAGAGCCATCCATGGACACTTGGAGTGTGATTGGGTCAAGCTGAGCTCTTTCTTGCTCTTGAATCATTACTGATAAGAAGTGGTTTACGGTGCAAACTCTTCCTTCCAAAACATGTGAGCACCCAACCGAACCCAAGCCAACCTGTTGGCAGGAAGGAAATGCCACGACTGTAGGAAAGCTCCTCTGGGCAGCTGTTGAAGTTCAGGTGGTGCTTGAGCCCAGTTAACCGGGCAGCTTGCTTTTCAGTGCTGCACATAGTGCTGCCTATGGAGGGCAGCAGAGGAATTAAGGGGACAAAAAGCTGGTTTTGTCACTGTGGTCAGCAGGTGCTTTTGAGTAGACAGGCAGAGGTCTCAGAGCTCAAGAGTGTCTGTCACTGACCTAGAAGCTCATGCAAATAAGGAAGTGCTGTTATTTTTTTCCATGCTTTAAAATAGAGATTGTGTAAAGCAGGCCCAGGCTGTCAAAAAGAGAAAATAATGGATGAAGCGATAAAGAATTAAAAATCTGTATGAAAAATGATGTACTGACCCAAAAGACAGAAAATCATTTGCAAAGAAGTTCTTACCTTCTTTTTGCCTACAGCCAGAGGTGAAGATCACAGAGGGAAGAAAAGAGACATGTTAGTTAAGTGTTTCCTGAGAATAAGTGGGGGAGTAGATATTGCAGACTGAATATTGAGCCCAGGCATCAGTGCTTATTGGATCCTGATAAGGAAAGTGCAGAACCAGTAGATAAAGGTGACGTACAGCTTGTAGGAGGACTGACCTACTCTTCCCTTTGGAATGAAACCAAGGATTTGGTGCAGCAAAGAGCAGGGCAACATAAATGAGTATGTGAACGTCTGTCCTTGTCTCTCTCTTTTATAAACTCCTCCTCTCTCTGTCTTACCCATAGTTTCTGTCTTTTTTTCCATTGCTTCCTTTTTCCATTGCTTTCCATTTCTGCTTTCTTTTGGTATTTTGAATAGTTCTTAAGAGATGCTTCCTGGACTTCTCCATGAAGAGTGGTGTGCTAGCTGTGGCAAATCAGACTACCTTCAAAGATGGAAGAGGGAAAACAAGAAACGTAACCGACCTCAGGGGAGCTGCAAAGTAGGTTTTACCCTTCTTAAGTGCTTGTGTGTTGGATTCTGAGACTGTGAAATAATTTAGGAATTGAAAAACAAAGATCAGAATCTGTTGTATCAAATGGCTGAGGGTACCCAGACGAGACTTCCCGGTAGATGGTTTCTGTGCCTGAGCACTTGCAAAGTTCCAGTAGGGAAAACCAGCACTGTGGTATGCAGAAATGAGCAAGGAGCCAAAAGCTTTAGTGTTCCTCAGAATGACTGTCAGTTTTGAAAACATTCCACTTGGTTTTCCTAGCCAAAATTAATAGCAAGGAAAGTTAAAGGAGGTTCAAATTGAAGTCTTCATGCAGCAGGACTCGGGCCAGCCAGTGATGGCCTCAGCTCTTCCTTCCTACAGCAGCCTTCCTAGTACTGTGGATTGTCCTAGTACTTTTGCATCTCACCTCATCAGCATGCTCCTGTTTTAGCACACGTCTGAAGTTCAAAAGGCAACGTCCTGGGCTCTGATGCCAGACAGCACCTCCCTTGCAGATGGACAGCAAGCATCTCCAATGCTGGGTAGCAACCAGCTACTCTCCATCCTCAGCCTGTCTGGAGCACAGGGGTACCTTTTCTTACCTCTGGATCTGAGGCTGCCGCATTCTAGCACCTTCCCAGCAGTGCTAGCACCCGCACCTTAGGAAGTTTCCTTCTTCTGGCATCTACAACTACATTGTTTGTTCTTTGACAAGATGATTCTTCATTTCTTCTTAGGAAACGTTAATATGGGCAAGCACTTTGCAGGATAGGAAAACAACTCCAAGAAGTCCTCCTTTTGCTTCACTGAGCTGTTTTCTGCTTCTCTGCTATTAGCAGTCTTGTCTTTTCTCAGCAGCATCAGTAATATCCTGGATGCAAGATCAATTGGAGTAAAAAGTTTTGAAGACTATGCTATTTCTTGGTACTGGATTTTAATGTAAGATTCTAATGGGTAATTTTATGTTTTTTCCAAACTCACTATGGAATGTGTAGGGAATTGAAGAATTGACCACGTACGTGTTTGTTATCAAACCTACTTTTAAGCTTTGCCGTAATGTTGTTATGGTTCTGTATGTGAGGTAAGGATAGCACAGCATACATGCATACAGTATGGTCTGGAGTAGCTTTTGAATATCCTACCAGGCAGAAAGCCAAGAGGTGCTGCTGTCTTCTGTTGCAGGACCCATCTGCATGGTAATTCCAAACCTAAAAATTCTTGATTACGAGACTTTCAAACCAATTGCAGTTGCTAAATGTCGTGAGTATCTATATAAAACACATCCCAATTTCCAAACGGATACTAGCAATATGTAGTTAAATTCATTGTAATACACAAATCCAGTGCAGCAGGCAAAGCAACTTAAAGAACAAAAACTACTGAACAGAGTTAGCTTTATCTTGCAATTCTTACTCAATAATGAGCAATTAGTAAAAATGCAGCACCAAAACAAAAGAAGTAGCTATTTTGCTGAAGCAGATCTGTGAGTATATATGCCTAAATGGCCGTTCTCTCTCGATCTGTTACTGAAATCAGACTTACGGTGAAGATTCTCTCAAAGGAGATGCTGCTCAACAGATGGGCTGGTGAGAGAATTGACCATTTTCTGAACAGACTTTCTCCATACTGAAGCCAGTTTCCCCATTTCAAATAGGATACTTTTATAAGGGATTGTTGTTACTTTTAAAGTAGTTGGGTAGAATTTTCCTCACACTTTTCACCAAATGACAGCATGCATCCAGTGATTTCTGGGCAAACATATGAAAGTGCCAGAGTTTGGGTGATGAGAGTGAAGGCCTGATGGTGAAAGGAGGTGGGATTAAAAATCTAATATGGAATTGCTCTGTTCTTTTTATCCTACTCCCAAAGAACTGCTGCTTTCAAGGCTCAGTTTAAGGGAAGCACTCTATTAATGACAGTTGTTACCATGTATTCATTCAGTTTTGGTGTTACTAGAGCAAATCTGAAGCTAACCGTAGATAAAGGTATCTTACTGCCTTGAAGAAGAGAGTCAGGAACTCCAAAATGACAGTGCTTTTTTTGAGGAATACATTCTGAATTTCAAACAAGCCATTCAGAAAGGGAACACGCATCATGCTGGGAAGCCTCTAAGGGGCTAGGACTTAAGACCAGTTTACAAAGGCTTAACTAAATAAACTGATGTTCTTTTTCTTGTCCCTCTGCCCGTCTGGCTTAGTTTGCCCAAGACATCCGGTGTTGATTGTTTGTGGTCAGGCTGACCCGTTTGTTATCTTTAGTCACTGGCTAAATAAACTGGGAACGTTCAGAAGAGAAGTTCCTGACCACAGGAAAGAAAAGGGTTTCATTTCTTTTGAGTCTGTTCTAACACAAAATTCTGATGTAACACCTCAGAGTTGTAGAGAAATGAAATGTTCTGTGAAGCGTCTGAGCTGGATCTTTGTTGGATGGAACCATTGTTCCCACTGCTTTATTTGCATTGCTTTAGAAGAAACCCGCTGAGTAAAGGCCTTTTGCAGTCATTCTTTCCTTTCTGACTTGCTTTCTGGGAGTGAAATGAAAGCAAATGTTTCCTTAGCACAGACTTGATAAAGACACTGGAGATGTCCATCCTAGGGGTCCCACTGATGGCTCTTAACAGGTTCTTTTTATGGCTCACTATGCCCTGATCATTTTCTTCTCCGATGGGTAGAAAGGATCACTGGTTTTCCTCCTAAAATGAATTCTTTTTTTTCTAGGAAAGCTCCTCAAATGTGGAGGACATAAACCAGTAACCTCCCCACACACAGGTATTTCTCCCATTTAAGTTTGTGTGCTGTAGACTAGGCCATGGCCTGGAAAAGGCAGTGAGTTGGTCAGCCAGTGTAAATGACCAAACCAGACGTGTGCTGGTCCCATTCAGACGCCCTGAGAACTCGGTGTACGCAGACAATTCTGGCTGTGTCCAGATCATCATATATAATCTGTCTGTTTCTAACAGCAGAGAGCCATGAGGAAATATTTCATAAGGAAGATTTTGAAATACATTTTTGCAAACCGTTCTCCTACA